TATACATTTCATCAATTTTAGTAAAAATTTAGGCCCCGTTCGGGAGGGCTTAAAATCCAATTAAAATTGAAAATATGGTCGTTATTGGATCCCACCCGTCTAATAAAAGTCAACAATAACGGCTATATTTTCAAATTTAATCTGATTTTAATCCCTCACAAACAAGCTCTTACTTTAATGTACACCAAAGATGAAGTGTGCATTTGATTTCAATAAAAATAGAAAATTCTAATAAATAAATTTTAAAAATTAAAAATCAAGAAAAATAAATTTCTAAAAAACAATAATTACAAAAAATAAAAATATTTCAAGTTCTTAATCATTATTTACATAAAAATTCAAAAAAAAAAAAAAATTAAGTTAACACAGATAAAAACATTTTCAATCCATATAATTAATTTTTATTTTTTATATTTTGAACTCAATTTATTATTTATTTTTATTTTATTTTATAACGAGAAAAAAAAAATATTATCAGATTCAACAACTTTAAAATGTGTATATATATATATATATATATATTAAAAATATTTTATTTTTACTGAATAATCAGATTTCACGGAATAAAATATCATAAAAAAAAAACTTCAAAATTTTAAATCAAATGTGTTTTTTGCGGTATTCTAAAAAGTGTAAAACATAGCAAAGCGTGAAAACGAAACTTCAAACTTTACGAGCTTAAGCAAGCCAGGCATAAAAAATCGTTTTTTTTTCTATTTTAAATTTTTAATCATTTTAAAAATTAAAATAATACATATTAAACATCTAAAATTATGAAATAATATATTTAACTCAGGCCTTGTTTGTTGCCCATTTTTCACTCCTATTTTAGAAAAAAAAAAAAAAATGAGAATGTTTCCTGTCCAATCCACTCACAATGCATATGACATGTTACTATACAAAAACAGTTTTTTAGCAGTTGAAGGCAAATGAGTGTATTTCGAGAATGTTAAAAATCGTACTAATCTATTTGAAATACATGTCAGTATGTGGGACCCTATGTTGGTAGAAAGAATGCATTTTTTCAAGGGCTTAATAATTTCTACAATTAGTCTATTGTACGATTTCCAAGTTTCCAAAATGCAAAAATTAGATTATTTTTCATAATTTCATTTTTCAACTAGACAAGTCCTACTGAATAGATTAATGGGAATTTCATATATACTTTCGAAATTTTTAATAACATAACAAGTAATTATATAATGTAGATAGTATCGTAGCTTAATTAAATCTTATTTAACTATTTATTGAATAAAGTCATTTTTGATTTTTGTACATATAAAATCTTTTAAAATTTTGAAATGAATTTTTTTTTAAAAAATATGACTTTTTAAAAATAAGAAAATAATAAAGTAGGAAGACAAAAGAAATGAACAAAAAAATTTAGTCATTTAAGAATTGATAAAAAAAAAAAAGGTCATAGGCGTGAAGTGATGCGTTTTGCTCGAGTTTCGAGGCTAGACACTACCTAAGCGTAGCCTAAACGAGCTTTCTAGAACACTAATTTTTAGTTTCCTATTTTAAGAAATAATTTTTCAAAATGACAAATCAGACACATTTTTAATAATCTTAAAATAAACCTTCAAAACAAAAAATTGAAAACGAAATCAAAACTCAAAATTGAAAACTGAAACACAAACCAAATGAACTTGAAACTTTTTCGCCCACAAATAACTTTTCTGAAAATTCACAAAAAACAATTTTTCTCTCTTGAAAAGAGGAAAAAAAGGTTCAAAAATTTCCGCCAAATAATAGATGACTCTTCTCTGCCCTCACACTCTTCGTCAAAAATCGTGTTCAGTCGGCTCTTCAAACCATCGCGATATCAAGATATACATATAAAGCTCAAAGGCAAAATTTGGAATAAAATACTTGACTACCGTATCTTTATTCATCAACAAATCAGCCTATCTATAGGCTATACAACCAACAAACTTAGCAAAATAATAACTTGACATGAGATCACTAACCAATCTGCAACAACTAAATCCTAAAGACTAGGTAAAAGACGTCCAATCATTCCCTTAAACTGAACGTTTGCACACATTCAGTTTAACAATTATGCAGAACCAACCCACAAATTCAATTCTCTAGATTATAGACTCCAAGTAAATTCCTCAGCTTCAGAAAACTAGCAAATTTGAGGGGTTTAGTAAAAATATTAGCTATTTGGTATTCACTTCTGCAGTAAAGAAGATCAATAATTCCATCCTTGGTAAGATCACACAAGAAGTGGTATCTCACGTCTATGTTCTTGCATCTTCCATGAAAAATAGGATTCTTTGAGAGCTTAATTGTTGAACTATTGTCGCAAAAAATATGAGCAGGACATGGTAGCTTGAATTGAAGTTCCTCAAGAATTTTCCTCAACCAAAGTGTTTGACAAGCACAAGAATTTGCGGTAATAAATTCCACCTCAGTTGTTGATAGAGTAACTAATGTTTGCTTCTTTGATGACCAAGAAACAGCTGCAGAACCAAATATAAAGACATATCTGGATGTGCTTCTTCTATCCTCCAAATCTCCAGCATAATCACTGTCTATAAACCGAAGCAATTCTAACCTTTCACCACTTTTGTAGAAAAGCCCAAAATCAGTAGTACCACACAAGTACCAAAGAATCCTTTTCGCAGCTAGAAGATGAATCTCTTTTGGACTCTCCATATATCTGCTAATGAGATTCACTGCTTGCAATATATGAGAACTTATTGCTGTCAAATACATCAAGCTTCCAACTATTTTCTTATAAATAGTATTATTAACTCTCCTTCCTATTGGATCATTTACAAGCTTCAATCCCTGTTCTACTAGAGTAATGACAGGATTGCAATTTTCTATTTGAAACTTCTCTAAAATTTCTTGAGCATATTTCTTTTGAGAAATAAAATTCCAGCAGTAGATTGCACTACTTCTAGGCCAAGAAAATAATGCTTTAGCTTAAGGTCAGACATATCAAACTCCAGCTTCATCGATTGCTTAAACTTTTCAAATATAGCACTATCAACGTAATTTCACATAACCAGGAGGTTGATCAACAAATACCTCTTCTTGCAAGACTCCTTGTAAGAATGTTGATTTTATGTCCAATTGGAATATGGACCATGAGTGTTGAGCTGCCAACACAATAATCAATCTAATTGTGTCATGTCTTACAACCGGAGCAAACACTTATTTTTAATCCACGCCGAACTCTTGCTTGTAACCTTTAACTACTAGGCGTGCCTTGTATTTATTAATTGTACCATTCTCTTTTAACTTCGTCTTGTGAACTCACTTGACACCAATTGTCTTCTGCCC